CGGGCCCGGGGACGCCGAGGGGAGATCCAAATGGTCGGGGACTCCGGCACTTTAAGAGGCTTTTCTCTGGGAAACACCCGTCCCCTCCGTGCGCCTTATGAATGGAAACACTCCTCCCCCGGTCGAGCCCATTTTCCCATTTCACCAGGAGCCGCAGCCCGCTCGCTCCTTTCGGTCTCCCCGCCCACAGCAACGCGGGCCGCTCCAGGAGGGGACGGACAGGAAGCCTTTGGCCGCCTATTAAATCCCACCCATTTCTCCGGGGGCGATTTCCTAACCTTCCGGGACCGAATTCTGCAATTTGATGTGCGTTTTGTCCGAATGGTAGCGACACGGGCCTAAGGGAGGGGGAAAGCGAGGGGGTGGGGGGTGGGGGGTATGCGCTCTTTTCCTCGCAACATCGCTGGCGGAGCGAGGGAGCTCACACGACACAGATTTTGGGGCAAAGCCTTTCCATCTGGACAGCACCATGTCCACCAAAGCGGAGCAGTGTAAGTAGCAGCCGGCCCGGCATTCCGGCCCGGCCTCCGGCTGGGAGCTATTGCAGATGCGGCGTTTGCTGCCGCTGGGAGACCTTGGCATTGTGCTGGTGCGGGGGTGGGGGCTGAGGCCGGGCGGGTGGGGGCTGGGGGGTGGGAGAGGCGATGGGGGAGGGGGGCCGGTAATGGCAACGCGGCGCTGTCTCCGGTGCTGAAAACCACCGCGGGCACCCTCGGGCCGGTGGTCGGGCTTCGCCAGCCCGAAACACCTTAGGACGTGCATTGAAAATGGGGTCATCCTCGGGAAAGAGAGGCCTCGTATCTTTCAGATAAACATTTCAGTATCTCTTGTTGGAGTGGGGGAAGGGGGGCAGCGGCAAATCAGGGGCGGGGAACTGTCAGTTGCCACCGAAGCCTGCCTGGCCTTCTGAGCATGCCCAGTTCTCGGTGCTGGTGCTGGAGCCAACGGGGAGTTTGAGTCTGCAGTTTCCACTTCGGGTGGAAGAGGCTGGGAAGAGAAGGGGGAGGGAGCCCGGAGCCAGGCTGACTTCTGGATCCCGGGTGAGGAAAATGCCAGCGCTAAATGCCAACAACACTGAGGCCGAAAGGAAGCTCAACTTTTGGCCAGAACAAGCTAGTGGCAGGGACGCTGGAAAAGGACCGACCTGATGGGATAATTTGTCCAAAGATCAGGTTTCCTTTGTAGTGCTGCTTACACCACTTATCACAAAACGGGGAGGGTTTTGGGTGTTCGGGGGAGGGGGGGGGGCGGGGGGAATGATTAACTGGACGGCTGGGTGGGAAACAATCTGCTAACTTCTTGAGCCCAGAGGAAGTTTCTGATTAAGAGCCCCTGTAGCTTCTTTGTTGCAGTGCGCACAGTAGGCCTTCAGTTTGCACTTGGTAAATTGATGAATGTGAAACCTTCCTCGGAGTGCACTTGAGGGATTCAGGAACTGAACCTCCGGTTGTAAATACAAGAGGTTTTTATTGAGCAGCGAGTTTGAATTTGTAACAAATATACCTGAACTTCCTCATCTAAAGGACTCCCGTCTCTTTCCAAGCAGCACGCATTTATGTTGGGAAGCTGTCATTGCCTTAAAAGTCTTTGAAATTCTTCTGTGGAATGACTTATGAAAGGCCATTTTATGAGAAACACCAGCACGTTACTTATTCACCAGACAGATTTGAAATGAGCCATTGGCCCATAGACTTCCCAGATCAGTGGTCCAATAGAGATTGTGCTCACATGCCATCCAGTGTTTGTCCTGCGTTTCAATGTAATCTGGAATCTAGAACACCTGAGTTTGAACCCTAATTCTGCTACTGATTGTTTGACCTTGGACAAGCTACTTGACGCTGCTGAACCACAGTTTCCTTCTTTGTAAACCAGGGGTCAACGATGCTGATGGGGTGGGTGTGATTGTAAATGACAGAATACACCTAAAAGATTTAGTAGTGAGCCTTGCACTTAGTAGGCACGCAATCCATTATGGTTGTGATATTGACGATTCTTTCCCCAGGCTACTGGGTGAATAGTCTCTTCTAAAGAGTTAGGAGATGCTTTGGTGGTCCCCCCATACCCCCTTGTTTCCAAAAGTTATGTGTACTATCACAGATATAGTTTGGCTCTGTCAAGGTTGTTGTTGTTGTTGTTGTTACATTGGATTAATTTTGGATTGGGCAATGATAACATAGTTGGCATCACTGTAGAATTTTCCACTTGAGGATCTTTCCCTCATGAAGTTTGGGTTGCAGTATGGCTGGTTTGAAAAAGCAAAGCCACACCTGTCATTTGATTTCACGGCTACAGATTACATAAGTGATTTCAGGTTAAAGCCGGCAAGTTCTCACTCGGTGTTCTCTTCCTGGTCATATTTTGAGAGGCACAAGCTGCTTTGTCTTGCTTCTTCCCTCCGTAGTTAATGCCAGGACAAAGAAAATCCCTGTGGTCGTGTTGTTCATGTAGTGGACTTCGGTGGTTCTTTCAGACATTTTTGTCAAACGTATTTTGTCGTCTGAAGAGGATGGCAAGGACACCCTATTTGGAACTAGACGACGTGGGGCTGAGTTCTGCATGCCCTTCTGTTTAGCTGTCAGACACCGGACAATTCACTTCATGGTTTTCTGCCTCAGAGTTTCCATAGTTAAAGTAAGGAAGAGTTGTAGTAGCTATCTTTGTTTAGTCCTAAAGGCTTTGAAGGGCAATGGAGGTAAATGGGAGTAGGCCGTGAAAAGGATGCTTTTTGGGTGTTTTTAGGTATCTCTACTTAGAGAGAAGGGAAGTCAAAAGTCTCTTCCCTCTCCCTCTTGTATATTAACCCACTGACATGAGTGGGCTGACACGCTGGTGCCCCTTCTGTGCCTTTAAATAGAGCAAAAACATGACAGAGTGCACAGTTGATGTCCATGAAGGATACTTTTAATAAGGAGAAGTTGCAACTCTATTGGTATTTTATCCTTGGGCTTGCACAGGTATGGCTGGGGAAGGAGAAAGGGAGGGAGGACACAAGATTCTTCTGTTTTACTGGGTGTGAAGACGGCCAGAGGAGGAGGGAATGGGCGAGTTCACTTCTCTGCATTCAAGAGTGGGCATGTACCACTTCCTGAAGGCCAGGGGAGAGAATTACACTCAATGTAATGTCAGGATATTATGTAGGTAAAGGTTTCACTGGTACAGGAAGTGGATGTAGCTTGGTTGAACCAACAAGAGGAAATGTTTGCACTCCAACCTAAACAGGTTACCTTTGTAATGGAATGTATCATAGAACAACGAATAGTGATTTTGTTCTTACGCAATGACATTTCCTTTTATGAAACAAGAGTGATGAAAAAGAGGCTCGTTTTAGCAAAGCCAAATCTGTTTGTAGTCTGTTTTTATAATTCCATCATTTTCCAGAACATCATCATAGAAGGTGGGAGCTTCCTAGCAATTTCTCAGGTGATTGCACAAGAGTTAAAAATTTCCCCCTTCAAGTGCCTCTTCTACTTATAGTCAAGGTCCCCTGCGGTAAAAATGTTGATGTAGCTGACATAGAATCTGGAGCAATAAGGGAAAAAAAACACCCAGAATTTGTAGTTGTTGTTGTTGTTTTAAATCAGGATTCTGAAGAAGACTCTTTGTCTTTGAGAGTTAAAATGGGCCAGCATGGAGTACTTTGGGTCTGGGCTGACGAAAGAAACTCTGCGTTGGGTGACATCAGAAGTTATGAGTGGTACTTCTAGAATCAGACCACTACCTGAGCTCTGTGACCTTGGACAAGTTAACATGTTAAGCCTTGCTTGACCATCTGGAAAATGGGGGTAGTCATCATCATTGTGAAGATGAAATGAGGGGGATCGATGAAAAGTGCCTAGCCAGAATTCTGGCACATAATGAGGAGTAAATCGATGTTTGTTGTTATTATTTGCATGAAGACCAAGTAGAAAAGAAAACCTTGTGCTTGCTGCGGAAATGGGGATGATTACAATATTTCGTTCTAGCCTCCAACTTGACCTCCTAGATTTCTGCTCCCAAGGGTAGTAGGGGAAAAAAAAGTAACCACAATATTTAACTGGGACATGAGCTACTAGATTGGATCTTCCTATACTTTTTTGTCTCCAGGACTCCTTGAGGGCAGTCAGGCTAACCCAGTGTAGATGGGGAGGGGTGGCAATTCCTGGTTTGTGTTTCTAGCGAGGCATGAACTGATCCACTAAACAGAACATTTCTAAGATAGGAATTGCCTATCCACCACCTTTTATATGATGATTACAGTGTAGCAACTGGTAAATGTAGATCACTCATATGACTGTCCATCAAAATGTTTGTTCAATTTGGAAAGTAACCTGTTGATATTTTGCATATAAATTTAAAATGGCTACTTATAGAAACGTGAATATGTACTACTTTTTAATGTATTCACTCTATACAACATGTGTATCTGAATAGCTACAACTTTTCTGACGATGCCAGAAACAACACTTTTTAAACGTTTAGCTAAATAGCACTATGATTTGAAGCTGAACTTGCTGATGTCCCATGTGTACTCAAGGGCCACGGTTGGAGCAAATCAACAGGCTGTTTTCTTTATTTTAATGCCTATCATGTGATGTTATTGCTAGAATCGAGAAGTACTTCTTTGAATCACCCTGCAAGTCATTGAAACATCCTTACACAACATGCTGCTAATTTCAGATAGAGGAAACTAGTTTTATTCCACATGTAAGAATTAGAGTATGGCTATTAACCGTACCTGTTGTAGCAAAAAAGAATACACCTTTTGAAAAGCCTTTGTCTTACTTCTGTGTCTCACATGACACTGGTTGCTGCATTCCTTCCTGAAACTCATCTTTTCTTTCTGGTTGTTCCGACTCAGATTTCGTCTGGAGTTACCGTCTTCTCTCCATCCTTTAAGAATTGAGTTTCCCCACAACTCTGTCAATAATCTTTTTTTCCCCATCTCCTTTTCATAGATTCTTGATTTCATTCACTCTCACGGTTTCAGTTACCACCTCTTTGCTGCTGATTCCAAACTCACCTTTTAATCTGAGCATGTCTCTTGAGCTATAAGCCTCCATGTCTATCTTGGGCATCCTTTGTGTACCTCAAGTGGGGACTCATTGTCTTGTCTCCCAAACCTGTATAAAAACCATTGCACATCTCACTGAATGGCACCACCAAGCCAAAAAGTTGGGCATCCTCTTAAATTTCTCCTTCACCTGTACCATCATTTTTCAACAGATGACCAACCCCCGTTGACTCACCCCTCCAACTCATGCTTGCCCTGTTTCGTTGGTCTAACCGCACGAGCCTTTTGTTGTTGTTCCTCTAATGTACCATTTTTTTCTATCTGAAATGCTTTCTTTCCTTCCATAGTCCTTTTCTCTGCCCCTTTTGCGCTTACTTGTTTTCAGTATCAGCTTGGAAACCCTACTGATTGCTACTCTTCTACATTTACCACTTGTAAGCTCACGCTGTATTTCAATACTTCCGTTTCTTGTCAGTTACTCCCACGCACTTTCTGTGAAGA